AAAGTATGCCTTTACCTAGCTACCAGCATATAAGTACGTTGAATTGGAAATGTTAATCTAAGGATATAAGAAGAATTACTCAACTATCAATCTGTTGCATATGTATGCTGTGATAACATTTTGGTAGTTTTAGAAAAAGAAAAGGAAAAACATTGACATCAAGAATCCTGGTGCATATATATACATCTCAGAATATATACACGTACATATGTGTACATCATCCATTCTACAAATACCTGTTGAGTTCTTAACCTGTGCAGTGTTCTTAACCTGTGCAGTGTTCTAAGCTTGTATATATACTTAAATATGTAGAAAAATGCAGAAATACATGAAGCAGACACTTAACATTGGTTAAAACAAAGATGTAGAACTGGGCATTTCTGAGTGAGGTCGTTAATTTATTTTTTATATATATTTACTTAGTGACTAGTCAGTCTCTGAAAATACTAATTGTAATTTTTTTTATTAGAAAATATCCATTTCTTAAGACGTGAAAATAAAGCTAGGCCAATTATTTGCTTTGGGATATTACAAAGTAATTGATCCTATACAAGCTGCAATATTTATTCATATACAAAAGATAATAATATACATATTTTGCATTAAACCTAATAATAATGATAGTGACTGAAAAGATAATGGTTATACTTATTTAATTAAGGTTTATTTATACTCACAACAGAAAAAAGAAATATAAAATTCTAAAAACAAAATGATCAACTATTTATTTGAATATTTAGAAAAGTAAGAAAAATGTACTAATGAAGATAAAACTCTTTATAACTTGGTATATAACCCCCATGGGGGATGTGCAGACTCTATATTGTAAAATGGTTGAGTTTTCTAAATTTTATATTCAAGCTATAACCATTATTAAATACAAATATGATACTTTAGTACATTGGATAAAATGAAATTACTACTATTCTCTAATAATATAAGGCTGAAATAATACAAATAACCCCAGGATAATGAGAGTAAGAACTGGTATATACTCTGCAAAATGCTACATGGTAACATTATTTTGGAGGAATTTGTTGTTTGGTTGTTTTAATTCAATTGAGGTATAACATACACACAGAAAAGTGCACAAAGCACAAATGTACAGCTCCATGAATTTTCACAAAGTAAATACACCCTTGGTGATATTTTAAATCCAAAATGATTGAAGCAACATGGTACAATTCAAGCATTGATGGTGGGTGCTACTGAACAAAGTTCATGTTGATCAGAAATAACATATAGAATCTTAATTTACAGCATACTCTTACAATTCCTTACATGTGAGTTTCACATTAGAAAATCAAAGCATGAATATCTAAGTCATTTGAACAAGATGGCTCCTCATCTGTAAAGAGGAAAAATATAACCTGATGTTAATAAAAACAATAGAAGTTAAAATATAAAAAGTATAAGATTTCCCATATTTTCATTGCTTGCCATGGGTCAGTCCTTGTCCTCTAGGCTTTCATTTTGATTGTCTCATTTAATCACTAGGACAATTATTTATTACTCATATTATATAATCATACTCCTAATTTATCTTAAGCTTCAAATGTGCCAAAAAAGTAAGAATGGGGGGCCAGCCTGGTGGCATAGTGGTTAAGTTCAGTGTGTTCCTCTTCGGTGGCCCGGGTTCACGGGTTTGGCCCTGACAGGGACCTACACACCACTCATCAAGCCATGCTGTGGCAGCATCTCACATACAAAATAGAGGAAGACTGGCACAGATGTTAACTCAGCACCAATCTTCCTCAAGCAAAAACAGGGAGACTGGCAACAGATGTTAGCTCAGTGCCAATCTTCCTCACCAAAAAAAAAAAAGAATGTTTTCCTTAATGTTAAAACAGCATACACAGACTGAATAATACTGTTAGAATATTTGAATCCAGCTTTACCTAATTACCTTTACTGGTAACATTTTGGTTTACCAGCTAAAACCTACCTATCAGCTAGATACAGTACTGTCAGTAATCTCACTTAGAATCTAAGATTAATCACCAGTATTAAGTGACATCAAGGCCCCTCAAAAAAGTTTTAAATCAAGTTGCCACTAAAGCAGAACTGAACAGCCCTGGCCTCAAATACAAGGATGGGAAGGTGGGGAGTAGATTGCAGACCCAAGAGCAATCTGCTGCCATCTTGATATTTGGTAATTTACAGCACTGTGTGGATATGGTATATATTTGCTGACACTGTTTCAAGGGGCCTAGAATAAAAACACTATTATCCACAGAGATCATTCAGGAAAATACAAATTAAAACGAATGGAAACTAGTAAGAAAAATTAGAAAGGGATTCAGGAAAAAAAAAAAAACTCAATAGCTTCTACGTACTGCAATTATCAACTAGAATATACAATGGCAAAAAAAGAACCCACAGATAAAAGAAAGTAAAAAAGTAAATTACGAAGCAATAACATTATCAAAAGATACGTCAGGCCCTACTAAGTAAGCTAAAAACTTTATAGCATAATATAAAATAATAGATCAATGAATACATAGCTATCTTAAAAGTATGGGAAGATTCAATACTGCCAAAAACATTCATTTTCCTAAAAATGTTTTACAATTTTAGGTCAAGAATATAGGGAAGGGAAAAAAATGTCAATTCAACTCTATTGGCATTGGGCAAAGTACTTATTACAGGTTATAAGCGAATATAAGATGGTGAGATTAACCAAGTTGACCTCAAAACTGAAATAAAATGTAAAAATTTCCATACTATCACTAAGGGATAAAGCGACTTTTTCACAACTGCAAAAGTAATTTAAAAAGATAGATTAAAGGACCAAATATATGAGAAAAACTGTGATGGGAAAATTTTGTATTTGAGGAAATAATAAAGTTAAATATTAGTTTCTATTATGGACACAAAATGTGACCTGGAAGGATATACATAAGTAATGTTTTTGAGAAGGAAAACTACTTACTGAATAACATATACACTATAATCTTCTTTTTCTAAAGTAAATAAAAATGAAAACAAATTCCCTGTATGTCTATATGAGATCAGGATATATGAACATGCATGGTGGGGGGCGGCCCCGTGGCTTAGCAGTTAAGTGCGCGTGCTCCGCTACTGGAAGCACGGGTTCAGATCCTGGGCGCGCACCGACGCACTGCTTGTCCGGCCATGCTGAGGCGGAGTCCCACATACAGCAACTAGAAAGATGTGCAACTATGACATGCAACTATCTACTGGGGCTTTGGGGAGAAAAAGGAAAAAAAAGGAGGAGGATTGGCAATAGGTGTTAGCTCAGAGCCAGTCTTCCTCAGCAAAAAAAGAGGAGGACTCTCATGGATGTTAGCTCAGGGCTATCTTCCTCACCAAAGAAAAAAAATTTAAAAAAAATTAAAAAAAAAAGAAAATGCATGGTAAACAAAGGGTACGTGTTGGCTTGAGCACCCACGAAGATGTGGATGCCGCTCATAATGGGTAACTGGGGGTGAGGCTGGGAGCATGATCAAAGGGGAATGGTGGCTAAAATCATTACTTTCTCTGTATCTATTTTAGCAACAATAATTACATTTTTCTTTTCCAAACAAAATATTTAAATGAGAAGATATATTCAAAAATGTGAAAAAAATGGTAAGTCCTTTTTTGTGACATAGCAAATGGTATTTAATCAAATCAATTTCAAGTCCACCTCTTATAGAGATGAGAACAAACAATACCTATTAATAATAAGAACAACAGCAGCAGATTACAATTACGTATTGCTTACAGAAGGTCAAGCACTCTGTTCTATATATTTACATGTATTTTGTATTCACAAAAGTGATATGAAATAGAAACTACTGTTACCATATCTGAGTTCATGCAAAGATAAGATGAGGCAGCTGGTATTACAAATACTTAAATGAATAATAATAGACAAATAAATTAAAAGGATTATTAAGATAACAACTTAAAGTTTAAGAATACACACTAATTGATAACAAGTTTGTCTCCTACTTAGAACCTAAATGCTCATTGAGCAGGAACTAAACATTAGGAGTCACTCTAATAAATAACTAATTACCTTTACATAGGACTATAAATGTTCTTTAACAAAATAAGACCCCTAAAAAGTCTATACTTTTCATTGACTATAAGCACAACAGTGAAAACGCTGACCCAAAGTGTACTCCAAAATGTTTATTTATGTGCCAGATCTCAGATACGATATTAAACAAGACATTGCTGTTTGACTTCCACAATATGGCAAAAGAAGAAGCACAAGATAAATTGGGATCTGACACTTCTAAATACCATAATGCATCCAACAGATATTTTAAAACTCTTTATAAAAACCTAGAGAATTGGAGAAAAGTTAGGCTAATGTTCAACTCCAGGAATACAAGCTAAAGTTAATAACTAGAATCCTGGAAAATTGAAAGTAAGGAGAATCTCAATTCTGAGATAGCAGCATGAGGAGCTTTGCAAACTCACTTCCCAGAGAAAGAAGCATAACTGGTGAAAACTATTAAAAAGAAGTCTCTGGAAAATGTCCTAAGTGAATAATTAAACAAAGAAACACTTATTCAAGCAAAATTTACCAAAACTTGGTAAGAACGGCAAGAGTCTATGGCATTTGAGCCAAGATCCATTTCCTCTCTCTCTCCCCCAGGTCAAGTTGGAGGAACCTCAATTCCCCATGACTGTAGCCAAGAAGATTGTCTCCTTTTAGCTCTCAGTCAAGTGATATGGTATCTATCTGGGAGGGCCAAGCCACCAGCATTTCTCATCCTCTCCCATTACAAGTTGAAAGGTTAAATTCCTTGTGAGTGCAGCTTTCCTTGGAGGCTCCCTTCCTACAGCCATCCCACACTCATATGATGCAGGTTCTATCCCAGGTGCAGCTGTCTGAGAATACTGGGGCCCCAATTACCCTTGCCCTAGTTTGGTTATTAGAAGGACATTCCACATGAGTGAGGTAAGCTGAGAAAACCAGAGTCTACCACCCTGCCCAGCACCCAGATAAGTGGCTCAGACACTTTGTGCAGGGAGAGAGGCAGTCTACAAGAAAAGAGAGGTGCACGGGCAAGAGAAACAATAGAAAAAATAAACAAATGGGACTACATCAAACTAAAAAGCTTCTGCACAGCAAAGGAAACCATCAACAAAACAAAAAGACAACCTAATAATTGGGAGAAGATACTTGCAAACCATACTTCTGATAAGGGCTTAATCTCCAAAATATATAAAGAACTCA